GAGAATGCAAAAAAAAAAAAAAAAAAAAAAAGGAAAAGGACCAGTCAGAAATTAAGCATACACTGTCTGAAATAAAGAATAATATATAGAAATCCAACAGTAGACTAGAGGACCTCAAGAATCAAACCAAAGATTTAAAATATAAGTAAGCAAAAAACACCCAACTTGAAAAACAGAAAGAAAAAAGAATCCAAAAATATGAAGATAATGTAAGGAGCCTCTGGGACAACTTCAAGCTTACCAACATCTGAAATATGGGGGTGCCAGAAGAAGAGAGAGAGCAAGATATTGAAAACCTATTTGAAGAAATAATGACAGAAAAATTCCCTACCTGGTGAAAAGACAAGTACAGGAAGTGCAGAGAACCCCAAACAAAAGGAATCAAAAAAGGACCACAACAAGAAACATCATAATTAAAATGCCAAGGGCATGCCGAAACCGGTTTGGCTCAATGGATAGAGCGTCGGCTTGGGGACTGAAGGGTCCAGGGTTTGATTCCAGTCAAGGGCATGTACCTTGGTTGTGGGCACATCTCCAGTAGAGGGTGTGCAAGAGGCAGCTGATTGATGACTCTCTCGTCGATGTTTCTAACTCGCTATCTCTCTCCCTTCATCTCTGTACAAAAATCAATAAAATATATTTAAAAAATAAAATAAAATAAAATGCCAAGGGCAAAAGACAAAAGAGAGAATATTAAAAGCAGCAAGAGAAAAACAGTTAGTTACCTACAAGGGAGTACCCATACAACAGTCAGCTTATTTCTCAACAGAAACTATGCAGGCCAGAAGGGAGTGGCAAGAAATATTCAAAGTGATGAATAGCAAGAACCTACAACCAAGATTATTTACCCAGCAAAGCTATTATTTAGAACTGAAGGTCAGATAAAAGCTAAAAGAGTTCATCACCACCAAACCAGTATTATGTGAAAGGCTGAAAGGTATTCTTTAAGAAGAGAAAAGTAAAGATAAAAATTATTATCAACAAATACGTATCCATCAGCAAGTGAATCTAAAAATCAAGTGAATAAAAAAATCTGATGAACAGAATAAACTGGTGAATATAATAGAATCAGGGGCCTAGAAAGGGAGTGGACTGACAATTCTAGGGGGAAAGGGGCATGAAGGGTGCTGGAAAAGTTTGGACAAAAATCTTGTACCTATGGATGAGGACAGTGGCAGGGGGTAAGAGAATGGGGGGGGAAGGGGAGGAATCAGGTAGAGGGGAGCTAAGGGAGGAAAAAAGAGGAACATCTGTAATAATCTGAACAATAAAGATTTATTATAAAAATAAAATATGATCAGATATTATCTCCATGTTTGTATAAAAAGAGTATTTTCTGCCCTGCTGATGTTGCTCAGTGGTTGGAGTACAGACCCAGGCACTGAGGGGTCAAGGCACACATCTGGGTTGCAGGTTCAATCCAGATCCTGGTCAGGGCATGTGCAGGAATCAACCAACCGATATGTCTTTTTTGCATCAATGTTTTTTATTTCTCTCTCTCCCCTTCACTACCTCCTTACAAAGCTCTCAAAAAATCTAAGGAAAAAATATCCTCAGATGAGGATTAACCGAAAAAAAGAAAGATATTTCCTGAAAGTATAGTATTTTCATTTTTACCCTTAGAAATAGGTCTTTTGACCCATTATTTTTAAACATCTAATCTTCAGCACTATAATTTTTTTTCAAGTAACTTTTTCTGGCTAATCTTTTTATCACCTTCAAGTAGAAAAAAAATCTTAGAGAAAAATGTAATTCTGGGACTACTCACTTTGAAGAGCACCTACATCTTAGGAAATTGGATGTCTCAAAATACACTGTATTCGTTCAGGTTTCTATAAATCCTTACTAAGGAAACCAGAGTAAAATGAAATGAAAATTGACTTTCCTCTGTATCCGAATAATAAAAATATAGTAAGGCTTACTGAAGTTGCCCATTGTACTCTCTGGCCATGATAAATGGAAACTGCCTGTCAGCAGGCAAAAGTGGATGCCATTCTTTTGGTAGCAGCCTTGTTTGACACAAAGGAGGCATTGGAGCACAAAGACTGACTCTTTGGGCTCATCTCTCTTAATAATGATCAAAGCACATGATCAAATCAAAAATATATTCATTGCTTAATCAAAAGGCTGAAATTCAATAAGCTAAATGTTTTAGATAAATTGGAGTGACTACTTAGGAAAGAAAAAAAAAATAGGACAGAAAACCATGAACTTTTTCAATTTCACTCAATACAATAGTGCACACACTCTCCCCCTCCCCTCTCCCTCCCACCCCTCGCCGCCAAGCAGGTTTCATAGTATTCACAATTTCAAGAAAGCAAAAGAAAAACAACATAGAACAACAGAAAAAACAAACAAACATATACTTGTGGCTCGTTTATATGCATGCTGTCAGTGTACTTACTGATTTGCTGCTTCTAAATGTTTTCTTTTGTTTGATTTTTTTTTAATGTCAGTTTCCTCAAGGTAGAATACCTTCATGCATTTTATTAACTTCAACACTATTGCACTAAGATTGACAGGAGTGATGCTGATGCTCTTAAGCAAGCTTGAAAAGGAAAACTCCTCATATGCAATTAAGAGTACAAAGAAAAAGAGTGTTGAATCTATATTTAATGTGAATGAACTCAGATATACGAGACAATAAGTTTGATATGTGCCTGAATTCCTATGACACTATTCTGTGGAAATACACATGAACATTCTGCTGTCAGATTATAACACCACATTCCCAACTATGCTACATAATAACCAAATATTTTACAACTCTATTTGTACCTCACCTAAATGTTCTACAGACCTCAGTAAAGACATGCGTTCTTAATCGGGCTCTCTGGATTCTATTCCTATTTGCTTACTCTCTATAAGATTACAGGCTTTCTATCCTTAGTATGATTTTGAGTAAAATAGAGGTTGTAATAGTTAAATACGAACTTATTTTTTAAAAGGGACTAGAACAAGGAACCAAGATGATGACATAGATAAATACTTATCCTGTCCGCCTCCCATAATTACATCAAAATTACAATTAAAATAGAAAACAACCATCATTCAGAACCACCTACACACTGGCTGAATGGAAGCCCTACAACCAGAGAAGTAACGAAGAAAGAACATTGAAACTGGCAGGAGGCAGGGAGGTGCAGAATGCACCGGTCCATCACCCAAATGTGTTTTTTTTTTAATCTGGAAGGAGATCGTCCCTGTGGAGGCTGCCTATGAGGAACAATGGGTCCCAGACCCACACCACACCCCCAACTCAGAGCTGGAAGAGAAGTCCCCATAACTCCTGGCCTTAAAAACCAGCGGGGATTGTGGCTGAGTGACACAGAGGCTGCTGGAATCCCAGGTCTCCCTCTTAAAGGGCCAGTGCACAAATTTACATGGTCCAGCTTTTTCCAAGCTCCAGCTCTGGTGACCCAGACATACTGAGGGGAACTGGATTGTCTTGTACCAGGGCAGGAACTCAGGGACAGCTTTCTCCCAGATAGAGGTGCTTGGAAGGGTCATTGTTCCTGAGCTAGGAACTCCCCTCTCCCAGGGTTGACTGGCAGCCATAACAGTCTGGAACATATTATTTTTTCAGAACTGGAAATCCCCTGAGACCCCACTCCATCCAATTTGCAGCCCACCAAGGTATTTGTAGTAATTTTTCCATATAATGGCCTGTCCTGGCTCAGGCTTCAGACTCTGCTGAAATCTCTCAAACAGCTGGTGACAGCATGTCCCAAGCCTATCAATAAAAGACCCAAGACCCTGAACTAGCACCAGCCTGCCTTGCCTCAGACTGGGCCTGGCCTCCTGCACAGCAACTCTCCCACTGCAGTCGCAGCTGGTTATCAGGTCAAGTCCTCCCCAAGAAGCCAATAGCAATCCAGGCTCAACTACAAGATTATGGGCACAGCCCACAGGTCACCTACTGCACAAGGCCACTCTACCAATTCCAGGAAACATAGTGTTCTACTTAACCATAGAAACAAACACAGGGAAGCAACCAAATTATACAAATATGTATATTTATAATACATATTATATGTAAATAGATGTTCATTGGCATTGATGGAAATACAAAATAAAGTGATGATATACTATTTTATATGTATAATATTGAAGAGCACTAACGAAATGGACAAACCAAGTTTGAGAGCAACAGTAACATTATATATGGCTGGTATGAGTGTAAACTGGTTTGGGAAACGTTGGAATTATCTTGCAAAACTGAAGGGGCAAATATCCTTTAGTTAAACAAAGCCACATCCCAGTATATACTCTAACTCCTTGTGACCATGCTGCAGGAGACATTTACAAAAATACTTAGATACTTTTTGCTGTTTATAAAAGAAAAAAAGATACAAACAGCAAAATTATTTATTTTATCTTTTGTTCTGTAGATTGCCAAATCTATAGAACAAAAAATAAAATAAATAATTACCTATTCTTTAAAAAAAAAAAAAAGAATCACACATTAGTGAAAATAAATGACCAGCATAAATGAATCAAATCAATATATTGTTTGTTGTTCAAAGTATCAATAATAGAAGAAAAAAGAGTGACTCCATTTGTACAAAATTCAAAACCAGAAAAACCATTTCTTATTTATGAATACTTACAATTGGAGTGTAATTATAAAAAAATAGATGAGAAATATAAATTTGAGGAAGGGGGTGACTTCTGTGCTAAATGGATGGGAAAATTAATTAGGAATTCGCAGTGGACTCCAAAGGCTTTATTAACGCTCTATTTTTAAAGTTGCTTGGTATGTTCATTATATTAATAATAGGTATTAATTATTATGCTTTAGGTGGGATATATAAACTATAAATTCAAGTATGTATGGTATATTTCATAATGTAAAACAATATGGTCCTAAGAATGACCAATAGCAATATACATATTTCTTTCTTTGCCTCCTACATATATATTCATCCTTTGTCTTTCTCACCTTTTCAGTTTTGGCCTCAGAATTTTGTGATGATTACAATAATTAGGGAATAAATTACCGTGTTTCTTATTGGAATCTTCTTGGGTTCTGGAGTCATATCCTGTGGAACAAATTTCACTGGTTCTTTAATCTGCCTCCTTGATCGTTTAGTCCCATCTGGTAAAGTTTCCATGGCCATCTCTGCTTCCATGTCACTGCTCCCAGCCTGGTCACATTCTGAGCATTGCCTATATAAAGGAAAAATATAAGTTCATACATTTATTTTTACCTCCTAGTGTTAGCATTGGTTTCTATAAATATAAAATTCAGAATACATAAAAACATACATTATGAAGAATATATAAAATATACATTGGTATATGTGACCACGGGATATACAGTGACTATACATACAGAAAGGCATATACCTACCAATAAGAATGGCAACAGTATATATATATAATTTTTAAGGTAATTCCATGTACCCCTATAAGTGTTATAAGAACATATGTAATAATGCTGCATGTTTAAGTAAAGTAAATAACATAAGAAAATTCAACATTAATAAAAAATATTTCCCTTTGGAAATCATGACTATCTTAAGTAACATGTACTGTGATACCTGAAAATCAGTCTTTTATTAATCCTGGCTCTACTTCCATTATAGCAATCATATCCTTTATTCTTAATGATAAGCCATGATAGTGTACCAACTAAAAAACTGTAAAAATTATTTCCAAAATGTGTTGAAAAAATGAATGGGTCTTTTTTTTTTTTACCATTTATGGAAGATGAAATATAAACTTACTCATTAAAATAATTTAATGAATCATTTTTTAAAAACATGGGGATGGGGAGAAGATGGCAGAGTAGCATGCAACAGGAATCTATTTCTCTAACTGGAATATAACTGCACTAGCCAAATCTATCTGATCTAATTTCTTTGGAACTCTGGAGTCTATAGAAGACTTGCAATTTTCAGGGAAAGGCTTGCACAGGCAAACTGCTGTTAACTTCAGTCAACTTCAGCTCTTACCAAACAGTAGCTAGCCCAATGCCCATCCCAAGCCACATGACAGGCAGTTGTGCACATATTCCTGCACTAGCTTGCACACAGTAGTTAAAATCCAAGGTGGGTAAATAAACCCTGACTTCAAATACTGGGTTCTGTGCTCTGTACTTTTGATCATAGGAGCATGGACAAATGCTCTATTATTGCAAGATACTCTGGCATCTTTTATCCCTCCATCTTCATTTAGGATACTTATTAATACTGCTGGCATTCCGATAAGATATAGCAGTATTTTCTTAAATTCTGGTTTCAAAAGCACATAAATATCAAAAGAAATACAGTCCACTATATTCGAGAAGAGCAGACAAGTATGAGTGTCTCATGACAAACTGACAAAAGATCATTATGAAAATCAATCCTATATAGTGGTGAGAAAAAAATGTAAGATTCCTAATACAATGAACAGAGGTAGCTTCATGAGATACAACAGTGAGATAAAAAACATGTTTAATACCTTTGAGAAACACACACGACTTTTTGTATAGACTATCATTTAAGAATTTGGGGTTCATTTAGTTCATTCTAAAACTAGGGAGGTAATTTGTATTAAAAAAAAATATCATGTCCATTCCAAAGTTTTTTGTGTCCCATATTCTTCCTATATAGAATCAACCTGTTTAAATCTGAACATCTGTCTCTCCCTTGGACTAAAATTAAGAAAAGAATAGAACTCAACATAGGTATCATAAACTTTTATCATATATCTGTAATGATTCAATATGCCCAGGTTAAAGAAAAAAAATAATTAAGAAACTTGTCAAATGTTTCTATATTTGCAAAGAATAGTTTTATATATAACTAGCACAAATGACAACTACCAAATGTAAAGTCTTCAGTAACACTAATTTAGAAATAAATAGTAAATTACAAATAAAAGCATGAATATGGAGGCAAATTTTTGATAAATTAATTGCATTGCAAAACAAATAAAGCATTTGAGAAATTCTTATAATAAAGTAAAAGAGAATTATAAACACACTAGATAGAATTCAGGCTTTAAGAATCCACTAAAATACCAAAACAGCCTCCATTAACTTAAAATTCATTTCTAAAAAAAAAAAATCTATAACTGTGTTATTCATATAATACTATTACAAACATGTATATCAGAAGCATTTTTATCTAAAAAACAGAAAACAATAACAATGTGAGGTTATGAATATATTAATTAACTTGGTTGTGATGATTATTTTACAAATCATTGAATTGTACACCTTAAATTATATATTCCATTTTTGTCGATATACCTCAATAGAGTTGAATAAAATACTTATGAAAGTATCAACTTTAAAATGTGCCACACACTTTATTATGAAGCAATATAATACGTCATCTTACACTGTTGAAATGAAGCCAACCCAATTCTAACATCTCAGTCCTCTCCATTGTACTCACCAATAACTGTTTTTGGTCTTTCTCGGCATCCTTGTAAGAGGAGGGTCCAGACATCCAAGATGGTAATGGAGTTTACAGGTATCACACAGCAAAAGAAGATGCTGATCATGGTTCTTCTTACAAATTCCACAACTTTGAATAAGGCAGCAAATGAAGTATTAGAATAATAATTATCATAGTAGAACAGTTAATTGATAGTAATTTTTTTAAATTTCAAAATTTTGTACTGATTTTTTTGTATTTTTGTTGAAGTCAAATATTTTTTCAAAATAAAATTTTTTGTAATATCAATAAGTAATTATTAATTCTAAATACTTTTGAGGATATAGAAAAATAGCATGAATCTAGTATAAATTTAAATAGTGCTAGAGACAAACCTTTTGGAGAAGGAAATATAGGTAATATTTATTCTCAACATCTTTATCTTAATTTTATCACTTAAAACCCATTTAACATTAGCTATATTTTCCTGTAAAAATATACATTATTAAATAAAAATTTCAATTTTCTACCTCTCTAAAACTACAAAAAAAGTAACGTTACAAACAAAATTCAGTTTATTTCCTACTATTAATTATAAATCTTACAAAGAGCTTCCAAAATGTAAATAAGGTTTATATATACATGTCTCTTTTCAAAATCAGATTTGGCATCTTAAAAATAGACTATATACATTTACTGCAGAGAATGGGGAGTTTTACTATTATTGGTGTTACTGTTATTTTGGATTTTTGTTAGTTTTTAAGGAATCTAACTTTTCTTGTGCAAAAAGGCAACTACTGAGAACACATGCACAATGTCCTGAAAATCTAGAGTATATTTATTAATACTGGGAATATAAAGACTAAGGGAAGAGAATCTAAAAGAGCTATCCTTGTGCAGAAACAGCAATGATTTTTGAATTTTTTAAATAATCCTAGAAAAAAAAAAGTCATACACACACAACAACAACAACCAACACCACCACTACCACCACCACCACCACTAGTATTTGGTCTTAAAATTATTCTGAGTGGAAAAAAAAAGAAAAAAGAAAAAAAAATCACCTACAATATAGTCAAAAGTAAAAATTAACTGTAGAGATAAAACTTAGAAGAATACTTCTAAATGAACTAGTTTTGTTTGGAAAAAAGCTGAATTGAGAACGTGTTAGTCTTCACACAGTACACTAAGACACTAATGGGGCTTTTTCCACTTTCAAGGAAGTTATTTGCTATTACCTATGGAGGGAGCCTTCAAACAGGAATGGAAAATAAGTATAAAGATTGATACTGTGACTGTAGCTACTACTTCGGTAAAAGGAATAGACAGTAGTCATGTTATGTATTACATAAGCATATATGCAGGTTACATGAATATTTACATTTATATATACAATGTATATATACACACAAATGAATCTAACATCTTTTAAACTTTTCTCATTTAATCAGTTACAAAAAAAAATCCCAGCCTGTGTTGCTCAGTGGTTGAGCATCAACCTGTGAACCAGGAGGTCACAGTTACATTCCTGATCAGGGTACATGCCTTGGTTGTGGGCTCCATTCCCAGTAGAGAGTGTGCAGTGGCCAGCCAATCAATGATTCTCTCTCAACCTTGATGTTTCTAACTCTCTCCCTCTCCCTTCCTTTCCGAAATCAATAAAGGATATTTTATTAAAAAATATCCTTTGAGCTCTGGCCAGTGTAGCTCAGTGGATAAGAGTATAGAGCCCCAAGGGTTGAGGGTAAATATTTTCAGTCAAGAGCATATACCTGGGTTGCAGGTTCAATCCCAGACACCGGTCAAGGCATGTGCAGGAGGCAACCAATCCACGTGTTTCTCTCATATCAATGTTTCTCTCTCTTTCTCTCTTCTCCTCCCTCCACTGCTCTGAAAAAGTATCCTTGGTTGAGGATTAACAATAAAAAAGATCATTTGGAGTGGGGAACACAAGCACAGTGTACAGATGACATGTTGTGGAATTGTGCACCTAGGTAATTTTCTTAACCAGTGTCACCCCAATAAAAAGGGGAAAATGAAAGGAAGGAAGGGAGGGAGGGAGGAAAAGAAAGAGGGAGTAAGGGAGGAAGGGGAAAATATTGTAACCTATTAAGGTATGGTAAGAAGTCTTGACTATGTAAAATTACTATAATGGTGAAAATGTAAAAAGCCAAAAAAAAAAAAAAAAAAAAAGAACAAAAATACATCTGGACACAAAATTATCAGAATTATTAAAGCTTAGCATAGAGAGAGAAAAATGTAGACAGGTTCAATTTAAAACCTATCTTCATTACCCACCACTGTACAAAGGCAATAATTCATGATATACATCTATATCTATAAATATAGATATAGATATATATATATACACACACATATATATGATAACCATCAGAACCTAAAAACACATGCAGAACTCTAAAACTTACTCAAGTAAAATAAAAATGCCTATTTATCTAATATATTGTGTAATTATTTATAAAAATAATCATCTACATTATTTAAAGTCACTTTCCAATTCCCCAAAGAACACCGTTCATTTCCATAAAGCTTATGCACATATGTCCTCAGTTATTTAAAAGATACAAAGAGTCATTTCATTTATCTTATTAAACGAGGAATAAAAATCTCTTCTATCATTACACTTGAAAACATTTCTGTTAAGGTATTAATAAAAATAATTTTAAATGCATTTAACTTAAATTCTGGTGTGGACATAATTCATTCTCAAATACATTGAAGTATTTTGTTACTAAAAAGTATTAGCTTGAAAACACACAATATTAATCTGCCATAATTTCATTACTTGCCTATAAAGTACTGTAGGAAGAATAGATGTCTTTTGTGCACCTCCTTCTTTTTTACTTGGTTTTCGCTCCTTGGGTGCCCTCAAAATTGCCGGTATGTTCAACTTCTATTGGTTTGAACAAATACAGTTTATTTTAACATTTCCCCCTCTATGCCACTCAAGTCAACTGAAAGTGCTAGGATTGTGAGGGGAAATGTTTTACCAGCTATTACACAGGAAAAAGAATTAAAATGAGTTTTTGTTTTACACCTACTTCCATCATTTTCAGGGGAACACTAAAACATCATGAAAATTAAACTACTTTAGCTTTAAAAAGTGAAAGACAAGGACAAGCATTTAAGAACATTTAAAAAAAAAAAAAAATACACACCATACATTGACAAAAAGAATATTGAAGCCGTGTATTTTCCTCAATATCCCAACTATACTGGTGCTCCCTAGGTTAATTAGAAAAATTATCTTATTGGACCAAACTCTTCACAAAGCGAATGAGAATCTCTTTGGGTTTCTACTAATCTGTAGTACGCTGGCTTTTCAGACAGCAATCATCTATCAAGTCATTTCTCAGTGGCCCAGTGGGCCGGCATCTGTTCAACCAACTGGAAAAAAAGTGTCATGCAAGCAGTACAAATGAATTCTACCTCTGCTGTGCATTTTATATTTGCACAAGAAAATCAGAGCTTCTGTTAAAAGTCATTTAATAAATGGAAATGCCCTTTCATAGCAGATTCTTACGAGACTAACTTGCAAATCAAGCCAAAAGATAATGCTAGCTTGGCAAATAAACTAGCTTGTACTCAACATTAAGTTCTCTAAATATAAAATACAAAACATCAGCTCAGTTGGTTAGAGCATGACTCATCCCCTCCCGATACACCAAAATTATGGGTTCTATCCCCAGTCAGGACACATACAAGAAATGCATGCATGAATAAGTGGAACAAAAATCAATGTTTCTCTCTTTCTCTCTCTCAATAAATTTCCTATATAATAAAAGGCTAATATGCAAATCAACCAAACAGCAGAATGACCAGTCACTATGACACGCCCTGACCACCAGGGAGCAGACGCTCAACACAGGAGCAGCCCCATGGTGGTCAGTGTGCTCCCACAGGGGAAGTGCCACTCAGCTAGAAGCTGGGCTCACGCCTGGCAAACGCACCAGTGGTGATAGGAGCCTCTCCCGCCTCTGTGGCAGCACTAAGGATATCTGTCAATCTGTCAGTTGGACATCCCGGAAGGGCTTCCAGACTGCAAGAGGATGCGGGAAGAGCTGAGGGACGCCCCTAAGTGTACAATTTTCATGCATCAGGCCTCTAATATATATATATATATAAAAAACACCATAATCTTCTAAAAATCCATCAACAACCTATTGATAGAAACAAAGGTAAGTTCTGCATAAGCAAGTATTCATTCTCAGCTTTTCAACTGTATTCATTACTAGAGGCCAAGTGCACGAAATTGTGCACAAGTAGGGTCCCTAGGCCTGTCTGGCAATCAGGGCCAACCAGGGCCATCTCACCCAATCCCGATTTGGGGCTGAGCTGATTGGAGTCTGCCGGCCAGTGGGAGGGGTGGGGGAGGGACCACAGGAGGTAGGCAGGCTGGTCAGGGAGAGGGACCATGGAGGTTGGCCAGCAGTGGGAGGTTGGCTGTGGGAGCATACTGACCACCAGGGGGCAGCTCCTGCCTTGAGCATATGCCCCTTGGTGGTCAGTGTATGTCATAGCAACTGATCGACTGGCTTTTCCTATTGTTATGGTCATTTGGTCACAACAGTCGCTTAGTTTTATATATATAGATAAGCCACATATATCCTATTCACAAATGCATTCCTCAAAACTAGCATGTCACAATACATATCAGTGTGAATTGCTTCCTGAAATATGTCTACACACACTATATGATGAATTTGAGTCTTTGTAAACCTGTGAAATGAGTATAATGAAAAATATATTTTCTTTGAAAATCATTGTTCACAAACAAAACTATTTTCAAAATGAAAGGACCACAGTGAGTCTCCATCATCCTTAAAAAATATATCTGAAAATACTTGAATGAATTCTAAATATATGAATTATATACACGTACTTAAAAAAAAAAAGAACATTCAAAGAAAACCATTTGGCAATGATTCTTCTTTTCAACAAAAGCACAGGCTAAAAATGGTAAAGGGTAAAGTAATTTTAATACCTGCTGAAGGGAAAAACTATAGTTTCACAAATCATTTCTTACAAAAGCAAATCAATATGAAAACAAATCTCTCCATTAGCCTTTTAAATTTTACATTTAAAAAATTCTCACATCTATGTTTTTTCTCTCTCCCTCTCCCTTCCTCTCTCTCTAAAAAAAGCGCGCGCTCCCTCTCTCTCTCTCTCTCTCTCTCTCTCTCTCTCTCTCTCTCTCTCTCTCTCTATATATATATATATATATATATATATATATATATATATTTAAACACAAAACTATAAGAATAAGTCAGAAGAAAATATGACAAAGAATTTAAAACTGCTAAATTGAGGGTGGGGGTGAGGAATGTGGTAGGAGTTAACTCATGCTTCAAATCTTCATTATAATCACAAGTCACTCAGTAAGAACAAATGAAAAAAATTTTGCAAACAAAACAGCTGTTAAAACAACCAAATTAAGCTACAGATCCTATGGAGGCAGATTTTAAAGCTCTATATATATTTCAGTCAGAAATCATTATCCAGGAGGATTAGTTGGCCCTAATTAAATAGAATTCTTCAGTTAGCAAAGTAGCCGTTGTATCAGAGATCTGATTTTTGAAAATAAAATGGAGAATAAGAATAGAAGAAGATAGCAAATGGAAAGAAACTAACCTGCCCTGTAATTCTGCCCAGTAAGGCCCATATTCCTTGTCCTTCACTTCGAAGTTTCCCATTCAGGTTTTGTAGTTCTTCTAAAGATTCACATAGCTACAATGCAATAATTCAAATTAACAAACTATTAAAATGGATAGTAAAATATGCAAAAATGTAAATTATTTATCGATATAAAAACATTTATATTCATATTCCATATAGTTTTAATACATTCAAGTCACATATCACTGAGAGATGTATCAATTAGTTGAGAAGACTTAACAAAATGTAAGCATTTTTCCTAATGACAATGATACCTACATTTATATATTTCTGTAGTTTACTATATAATTTCACACACATTTTGCTAATTAATTCTTGTGACTATCAAAAAGCATTTCTACTCTATCCCAATGAGAAAACTAAGAAACATAGTGTTTTGTTGTCTTGGCAATGATCATAGAAATAACAAGAACCCTCAGGACTCCTGAATCTAATCCAGTATTCTTTCACTATTATGTGGCTAATTATGGGATATTTCTTCTTACTTATTTTTTATCACTTAAAATGTTATCTAACAATAAGTCAATACCAAATGTTAATGTTACTTACTACCTAACATTTTATATGATGTTTTTATATGACCTTTCTTTTTGAGCTTCCTCGTCATTAGAATGAGGAGGTAGAATGCAAATTTTAACTGAGAAGTTTTATTTTTTAATCAAAAATAACATTACAATTCAAGATAAAAATAGTAATTTAATAGTAAGTTTCCAAATTTTCTACAGACTTAAGAGAAGTTCCACAGTTCAGGGATTAGGAATAAAGAATGGAATCAGACTGCTTGGTCTGAGACACCACTCTATGACTTGAAGGCCTACGTGAGCCTACGCAAATTACTTCACCTGCTTAGGAGTTTCCTTCTCTGAAAATGGGCATAATTCACATTATACAGTTGCGTGAGAATTAAATGAATGAATACAAGTTAAGTTCTTAAAATTGTGACTGGTACATAGCATAGCAAGTGCCCAATAAGTGTTAGAGAAGATAATGAGGGATGGAAGTTGTAGGGAAGGGCCTAAAAACTCAAGAACTTCAAAATAGTAATGCTGTAAAAATCACCAAAATAAGTAGTAATGCTGTAAAAATCACCAAAAAATCATCAATAAGATCTATTATATTATTGTCCTGCAGCCAACTTACCTTATTATATTCCACATGAAGCTTTTCTTGTTCATTCTCTAATTTATCCTTTATATTCTTTTGTTCAGCCATGTTTTCCTGAATTTGAATCATGCGCATATTTCTCTCTATTTAAATTAAATATCAAATTTTACTTAATAGAAAATAAAAGCTGATATACAAAATACACAAAGGAAGAAGCTAGCCATAGAAATGTCACATGGATAAACCTACATTGTTTAAAACACTTTTAACTCTATTCACAAAAATATGAACTTAGCATTTTATAACAACCCACAGATTATTAGGAAAATAAACATGCTTGATACATGCATCATGACTAATAAATTAAAAATTTACGGCATATCAAATATTTTCATTAGCAAATTGTTCTCATTGAAAATGTGCATGCATCTGTGTCTCTACTGACCAAAATAATAATTCACAAAATCAGCAGTGAGAGCAGGTTGCTTATGCTTTCTCCTTCCATCCACACTAGAACTAGTATCTGAATTGTCCACTGGGAAGATATCTGTGCTGATCCCCATTAATTCTGCTTTCCGCATCAGTTTCCGAATGGCTGAAGCACTGCTAGTAAGTGGTCTGGGCAATTTTTCCCTTGGAACCCAGGCCTGGGGTCTGGTAGATCGAGCTAGTTCTGCTTTGGCACGATACTGCTGAAGCCGGGCATTGATCCTTGCCTATAAAAATATACATACAAATTTTAAGATATTAAAATGGAATGTACTCCTTAAAATTTTTACTTCCATGCTTAGAGAAAGTAAAGATACTTGAATTCCCTATGTCAAAGCAAGTAATAACTATCCATGGTCCTTGAGGTATATTGGTCCTTAAGATATGCTCTATAATTCTTGGGTTACAATAAATTATGTCTACCCCTAGTAATAACTGTCCTACTCTATGATCAGAGTTGTCATAAATTAATTTCATTAAGCTGAAGTTTTCTTAATAACTGCAGTAGTGTCCATAAATTTATCTAATTTATAAAGAAATACATTTTAAATGATGGGCAAACTGATCAAATACTTTGCATAAACATCAGAAGAGACTGAAAAAGGTGTGGTTGACATATTGCATGGATAGAATAGTTCCTTCTAAGCCATGGTTCTCAGTGTATTTGGAAACATGCTTTATAAATGGTTGCTCTGTTGACTAGATGAGAAGCAATGTATTTAGCCACAAACTTTACTCGCCATTTAACTTAATGACAACCCATTTCCCAAGTAACTAACCAAATTTCATCACTATATTTCATATGACATTGGCAAACACACATGAGATCTGAAATATATAACCTCAAATAAACGTGAGTTTGGCGTAAATTCCGTACCTGTGCTTCTGGTGATAGCTGCTTCTCTCTTTCTTGTAAAGACATTTTACAGTAGGATTGTAGAGCCAAGTAGTTTTTTCTCTTCCACTTTCTATCTAACCTATCTGCATGTTGCTTGCAATAAGCAAAAAATGGATCTGCTATATCCTATATCAAAAAAACAGGGAAAGAAATAAACATTTTTTACTTCAGAAGGTTCTAGGAAACCCAACACAAAATCTAATTTTTAAAATCTCTCCAACAGTATTATTTCTAAAATAAATTATAAAAGTAATTTATACACATAGAGAGAAAAACTACTTCTTTAGAAACTTAATTCTGCATGTCAATGTCAAATTAATAATTTTTTTCTTAAAAGTGCCTTATGGATTTAAAAATACCTAAGTCAACTTTTATGTTGTATATTTAATCCATAAATTAAATATTAAAAGTTCTGTTTAAAATAAATAGGATTTTAATAACCTTAAGTAGAAATTATCACTAAATATCAAAGTTATGCATATATAGGTTAAGATGATAAAACAACAATATATTAAGAAGTTGTAAGGAGGAGAAATAAAGATAAGCTACCCATAAAGTTTTTATCTAAGTTATACTAAAAAGGCCTATTAGTAAGATGGGGTTTTACAACCCAAAGAAAAATGATAATACTAAAAACAAACAAACAAAACACACACACACACACACACACACACACACACACACACACACACACAAGTAAGAATAGAAAGAGAAATAATTTTAAAAGAATCTAAGGTGTTGTTAACATAGAAAAAAACCATACAATGTCATTCTGTAGGGTGGTATCCACAGATGTCATACTATAATGCTGTGGATATGGTCACAGAATTAGAAATATAAAACCCTACATACAAATTTTAGCCCTATCATTTACCGGTTTTGCAGCTTCAAACAAGTTGCTAAACAATTCATTAGTAAAATGGACTTAATAATAACTACTTCATATGGCTATATAAATAAAATACAAAAATGTAGCTACAAGAGTGCATTCAAGAGTGCACACACACACACACACACACACACACACACACACACACCTTTTTCATGATATGCTTTAGATCCTGGTGACAGAAAATGCTATATGGAAATAAAGATTATATTGAACCTTAGCCACATGGCCAGATCTAAAGTATTATTCTATTGTTTTTAAAGTTGGGAAGGTTGAAATTGAATTATCAGGTGGATTCATGTTTGTATGGGTGAGTTAAGCATTAGGACCAAGCCTGACTTAGGAAAAAGATCAGTCTTTTCACCGAAGCTGGTTTGGCTCAGTGGTAGAGTGTCGGTCTGCGGACTGAAAGGTCCCAGGTTCGATTCCGGTCAAAGGCATGTATGTTGGTTGCGGACACATCCCCGGTAGGGGGTGTGCAAGAGGCAGCTGGTCGATGTTTCTCTCTCATCAATGTTTCTAGCTCTCTATCTCTCTCCCTTCCTCTCTGTAAAAAATCAATAAAAATATATTATAAAAAAAAAAAGATCAGTCTTTTCTGTTCTAAAAGATATCTGAAAATGAATAAGTAGTCCAAATAATTTTTGTTCTGTTTTAATCAGTTTATTTTGGATTGAGAGGCAATAAACCCCAATTTTAAAGCTAGGATGACTGAATTTTCTCTAAGCAAAGAGAATGAAACAGATATAGAAAGCAAATATTAACTACTATAAAAACCACTGCTTTCCACTACCTATTCTCCCCTTTTCTTCAGTTAGTTCTACAACCCTCTGAGTTTTTACTGCATCCATGGCTATCTGATGGGAAATACTCTGCTCCAGCCTCCTTGCAGATAGATATAACCATGTGATAAGATCCAGCCAATGAGGTATGAAATTTCCATGCCTTGAAAGAAAACTGCCTATTCTTACTCTCCTTGTTCCTCCTTCCAATGGAGTAGAACCCAGTCAAAGTGGGGATAAACTATGCTGATCATATTATGTTATATTATCTCTGGATATCGCCACTGTTGCTTGTGAGAGAATTAAGAATAAAAATAGTATATACCATTTTCATATTGTCATGAAAATAGCTTTAACTTCACAGACCTCTTGATAGAATATTAAGGAGCTTTCAAAACATGCTTTTAAAACAACTGATTGCTGCCGGGACCGGTTTGGCTCAATGGATAGAGCGTCGGCTTGGGGACTGAAGGGTCTCGGGTTCGATTCCGGTCAAGGGCATGTACCTTGGTTGCAGGCATATCCCCAGTAGGGGGTGTGCAAGAGGCAGCTGATCAATGACTCTCTTTCATCGATGCTTCTAACTCTGTATCTCTCTCCCTTCCTCTCTGTAAAAAATCAATAAAATATATTAAAAATAATTAAATAAATAAATAAATAAATAAATAAATAAAACAACTGATTGCTGCCAGGCTGGGAGTGGCCAGGCCTGGAACAGCTCGCTCCTCACCTGCGCCTGCCCCACGGCTGCCTCTCAGACATGGCTGGAAACTTTTGCAGGAACTTGAGGGTCTGCTGAATCAAGTGATGAAGGCTTAGATCTGGATGTGTTGAGTTAGTATAGGGCTGGAGTGTTGATCTGTGAGTGCCTTGGGTGGGGCCTGGATGAGGCTAGACCTATTTGGAAATGTCTTTTGTGTGAAGTGTATCATTGGGCATGTGGAGGTATTATTGATATGAGAAAATGCTAAGTAACTGATTTACTATCTGAAAAGGGATTTACTATCGGGGAAAGGGAGGGAGGAAGAGACTGAACATAAACTGTGCACCTATAGATGAGGACAATGGGGGATGTGGAGGGGGCGGAGGGTGGGGTGGGAACCTGATGGAGGGGGGAAGAAATGAGGAATCTTTGTAATAATATGAACAATAAAGATTGATTTTTTTAAAAAATAAAATAAAATAAATTATAATTTTAAAAATCAATAACATATTTAGAACAGTCACAAAAATTAAAAGAACCTAGACAGTAGTATGTAGCTGGCTTGTACAGCTTGCAAAGGCTCATTGTTAAATTTGCAAGAATTGTGCAAGCAATTTGTTAGACACAAATATCATTAAAGTTAAATTATATAAACTTACAATTAAATATCTAATTATATGTTATTACAATTTACAGTGATTTATGTTATTGAGTCTATTTACACACATTATTTCTGTTTGGTGGGAATACTTTACAATGGTGTGCTACTCCACATTTCTTCTAACTTTGTATTCACATTAGTAGCTTGAAATTGGCCATAGTAGGAGAATTTACACCATGGAAATTAGCAAACTCTACAAATCATTCACCTTTTCTCCTTTCCCAGAGAGCCTACTGTTAAACATTTTCCATCACATTACTAAATCAATAAACAGATCTATCAAAATATAAAAAAATAAATAAATAAAAATAAAACAATTGATTGCTTAATCTAAAGACAATAAACTTAGAAGAAAATTATAGAATTAAAAATAACTGTAAAGAGATAGAAATGTAGATTCTAAAGACAAGGTAGTGGTTTTATTTAGAGAGTAAAAGAGCAAGATTATTATCCAAATACAATTTCAGACTCTCAGATAAAACTAGAGGCCTGGTGCACGAAATTCATGCAGTTGGTGGGGGGAAGTCCCTCATCATGGCCTGTACCCTCTAGTGGTCTGGGAGCCCTGGGAGGATGTCTGACTGAAGGCTTAGAAAGCTGTCAGTCTACATCCTTAGCATTGCCACAAAGGTGGTGGGAGAGGCTCCCACCACTGCTGTGTGCTCTCCAGCCATGAGCCCAGCTTCTGGCTGAGCGGCGCTCCCCCTGTGGAAGCACACTGACAACCAGGGGCAGCTCCTGTGTTGCGTGTCTGCCCCCAGATGGTAAGCGCACATCATAGTGACCGGTCATTCCACCATCTGGTCATTTACATATTAGCCTTTTATTATGTAGGATATGCTGACATTTTAATGCTTTAAAACACTTTGGATTATGTTTCATTTCATCTATTAGATCTCACTACCAAAATTTTAACAAGTCTTCCAAGCATCTGACTTGCTTTAAAACTGGAAAAAACTCATATATTGGTATATTGTTAACTCTTTAAGTTTTAGACCAGTGATCTAGGCAAATAAACTTTTAAGTTAAATTTCTGATGATACCTGATGTAGGATATAACAGTCGTGAGACGTTTCATGAAAGTATTCATCAACTATAGGTTTAAATAAACCTACCTCTTCTGCTGCTGCCTCCGAAAGCAGGCCTTCCTTCTGGGCGCAAGTCACGTGGAAATAGGCTCTGCACATACCTGCATCACAGCTAATGCAAACTCCAGTTCTAGCAAAACGAGGGTCTTCACAGAAGCTACACTCCTACAATGGGATAACAGGAAATAGCTCAGAAAACAAATATTTCTAGGAGATAGCATTCTCTTACAAAGCATCCACAAAATACAAGTAGTGAACCAATACTATATTAATATAAACTACAGTAGGCAAGCCAAGGGTATATATGAAAAAAAAAGTCTCTATGTGATTCAAATAAACCATAATTCCACCAACATAATAATGATGATAATATTATTTGAGGGCTATGTGGTAGGCATTATTCTAAGCACTTTGCACATAGAATATCATTATTCTAAGCACATTGCACATATTAATATCATTAATATTCCACATTAATATGTGAATGAGGTACTATAGTATTTCCATTTTAGATATGAGAAAACTTTACTATAAATAATAAATGATTTAGATTTAACTGCTATACAAACAGTATGATTACTAACAAGCATCTCCATAGTCAACAATGCAAGTAAAAAGCCGTGTAAACTAGTAAGAAAAAACTTTCTATTTTAGACCATCAAAAATATTGTCTCACCTTGGCACCATATTTGGAATAATTCATTTCAGTTAGTGTTACTGGTCGTAATTTGTCAATATCTCCAAATGCTACTCCAGGAACATAAAGGGCACAAACAATGTGAACCCATCTATAAGGAGAAAACATAAGATTTTTCTATCAAACCCTTTTTATAAAATGTCCACGTGGAAAGTAGACATCAAATATATATACCATTTCGAATAACTACTGAAAGAATTCTATGGTCAGATTTCAAAATCTCAGACATACATCTGAAGAATATGGAACATGTATAGAATGATATTTAGTTACAGAAAGAGTGACTACAACAAGCACTACTTGTCCAGCCGCTCAGCTAAAGCTGAGAGTTAACAACTATAATTGCCTTGCACTGAAAATTCACTATATTTACCACTTACCTGTTAGTTTTAAATATCTGCACAAAACCATTACTCAAATGAAACAAAACATCATTTCCATATGTGTGAAAAAGTATTCACATTCATTATTGTAAGTACTTTGAGAATTAAGGGTACTAATTGAAGAACTGTGAAGTTACTATGCAATAATTAGGTAAAATTATTCTTATTTTGTTCTAAAGGCTGTTGGAAAATCCTCTGAGGACATATTTTAAAACAATTTTTGATATGCATCTTGACTCCCTTCCCAGTAAACTGTACAGAACAGTTACAATAAGTAAGATAAGAAAGTTGTGCCGAAACCGGTTTGGCTCAGTGGTAGAGCATTGGTCTGCGGACTGAGGGGTCCCGGGTTCGATTCCGGTCAAGGGCATGTGCATTGGTTGCAGGCACATCCCCAGTGGGGAGTGTGCAGGAGGCAGCTGGACGATGTTTCCCTCTCATCGACATTTCTAGCTCTCTATCCTTCTCTCCTCCTCTCTGTAAAAAATAAATAAATAAATAAATAAATTAACGAATGAATGAATAAAGGGATTTGTGAAGGTGCTGGAAGTCCAGGCTGTAAAGCTCCCATGGTATGCATAGTAGCATTAACTGCTCTAAGATCAAGTAACAATCGCCATTTTCCTGTGGCCTTTAAAAAAAAAAAAAAAAAAAAGATAAGGAAGTCGTATCTCTCTCATTCATCTCTTCACCATTCTACCTATGTATTAAAATTTATATCCCCCCACATACAAATTTTTTTTTAAGTCTGAATGATACTGCAACATTAAATTAAGAATAAGGAGTTTTAATACACCAAAAATAACAAATAAACACAAGTTGATTCTAATTCTGTTGTGTGTTTTTTAACTGCTCTGAACCTTTTTTAAGAAAAATATATTTTTTTTATTTCAAAGAAGAGAGGGAGAAATAGAAACATCAATGATGAGAGGCAATTATTGATCGCCTTCTCCTTGCACACCCCTACTAGGGATTGAGCCCACAGCCCACGCATGTGCCCTGACCGGGAATCGAACTGTGACCTCCTGATTCATAGGTCGAAGCTCAATCACTGAGTGACACTGGTCGAATTGCTCTGAACTTTTTAAATTAAATGACGCTCCATTTCTGTTTGCTTACAACTAACAAAAGATGGATCACTGGATTTTCAAATTTAAAAAGATCTATATCACTTCTGTAAGAAAGAGAGTAAAAATGAGATGGCAAATCTCTCTTACCCTTGTGAATATATTAACAATAAATTCCGCTTTATCACAGCATAAGAGGCTATGATTGCTACATGGTTCTGTTTTGTGATGCACTATGCGTTTTAAAGAAATAAGACTAAGAATCATTTTATAGAGGTTTGGGGAAAGTAGCTACAAATCTTTAAAAATTATCTTTTTTAGTGGAAAAAAATCCAAAGTTTGGAGATTTTTCTTGATACAGTATTTTAATCCAACCTCCCAAATGCATCCTGTGGAGTTCAATATAAAGATACACATCTTCGACAAGCAGCTTTCTCAATTTAATTTGCACAGTTCTTTCATGCTCCACTGATGTGTTAAATGCTGCTGTACTCTACAGGAGTTTATCTTTGATAAACCTAACAGCTGGCTGCTTGCTTCAGACTGACCTTCTTAAAATGTCTTAGTACAAGTCGCACAAATACTACAGATACAAACTGCCATTTCAGTATGATTGGCACACAAGTGTATTATTTTCCCCAACCACTCATGAGAGGACACTAACATGAGTCTTCATTAAAATGCATATCAACAAGCTGAGGCAATGTTGGTCCTTATTAATACCTGCTATGAATAATTATTTGTTCACTTGTTTAGCTGCACATACTTTAGAACTCTGTAATTAAGGCAAGTAGAGAAATCAAAAAGGAATAATCTTCTGTGTTACTTTACCACCCATTTTTCTTGGAGCTATGCTGATAGATGTCGATTGGGGAAAGGAGCAGAAAACAAGCACCACGTAAAACCACCAAAAAACAAAGAGTCAGAATTGTCATTCTAGTATGGAAATGGTCACTAGATTCTTTTAAATTCACTTAGTTTAATAAATTAAACAAAGTAGAAGGATGCTTTCTTTTAGAAGAGGAACTACATTAATCAATCAAATTTGATTCTTAAATGCCTTGAACTTGTAGTGCCTTTACAACAAAGGAAATCCACTTTTAATATGTTCTTTTCAGTCCTTCATCTATTCATTCACTAATCAACTACTAAGTATCTACCAAGAACAGAGCACTCTGTCATCCAGTAAGCTGCAACTACACCTTCTCTTTCCCTAAGGTCTGAACCCCAGCCTGGGAGAACGAGTTATCCTCCTAATTTTTAAGAGTTCTTTTATATCCAATAGTATTTATCATAGCTTAACAATTCTTTAAATTAAAATTCTTTTAAATCCCTATATGGGTTTTGTGATATATTCTTGGAATAAAAAAGACATGAGTTCAAACTTGACTATTCACCAGCTCGTGGTTTTGAGAAAATTAAAATTATTTAAATGATCCGAGCCTCAGGTACTAAGTCAGAAACTATAACTTGTCTCACCATAAAGTTAATATTAACATTAAATAGAATAAAGAGTATAAAGGCAAATGTAGATATCCAAAACTTGGTCTTCCCCTGACTCCCCACTGACCCTTAGTCAATTGTTCATTTACTCTATGCCAACAAGCTACAAAAAAAGTGATCAAATAAAAGGGTGTATGTAACTTAGAAAACCAGAGCAAAAGAATAGTTAGAAGTAGCCACATTATAAAGCATACATATTGATCCAAGATAATTATGACATCAACCTTCCAGCATCTGTCTCCTTGAAAATTCCATCCTGATTAGGACACAGTTCACAGCTAGGGGAAACACCACATTTACAGGCATCGCAAAACCAAGGTTCAGTGGAGTTTTCAGAAGCTGAACTCATAATAGAGTCACTCTCTCCATCAACTCCATAGCAACCTAAAAAAAAAAAAGTATGATTAATAATTTACTTTTTAAATTTATATTTATAAATTCACAAAAGAAAAAGAGGAAGGGAAATCAAGAACATTCTGAAAAATAGTTTACATAATAATGACATTTATGTCAAAATGCAAAGATGACATTATTTAAAAAAAAATACTTTTTCACCTACCATAGTATATGCAATAAAAAAGTCATAAAATGCCAAAAAAAGATTTTAAAGAAACTAGACACCAGTATACAAGATAAGCAAAGTAATAAAAATTCATCAACTTCTTTAATATCATTAAATTGTAATTGGTAATCATCATCCTCATCACCTCTGCTGAGATATAAATTTTTTAAATGAAAAAATCATAAAATTAAAAGGAAATACAATTTCCTTCTCGGAAGCAGTTATTATTGATTGTCATTAATAAAAGACACTTTTTCAGTAAAGGCAACAGTAAGCAAAATATTGTATATAAAGAAAAATCATAAGACAAAATAAAAATAGCCAATTTGCTTTCTCAAAGGGTTGTGCAATAATCCAAAGGGAGAATCTATTTTCTTTACAAAATAATGTTCCCTATTAAGCCAATTCTTTCATCTGTATTCACACAAAAAAAGGCAATTACCAATCTATATATATCTATATATATAAAAGCATAATATACTAAATGTCCAAACAATCAGTCAACCATTCTGTCGACTGCTCAACAGTTGCTATGATGCACACTAACCACGAGGGAGCAGACACTCTGACCAGTAGGTTAGCTTGCTGCTGGTTCCAGTGGATCGAAACTGGGTGAGATGGGCCGGGTACACATGGAGCCCTCTTGCAGACCCGACGCGGCCAGCAGGTCCCCGATGGCTCTGATATCCGGCTGGGTTAAGGGACCCCACTTTTGCAGGAATTCATGTACCAGGCTTTTAGTTAGCAAAATAATAAAGCTCTGAAGGGACTATCCATTTTATTCTTTTTATTCACCAAAATCACAGCAGTTCTCTTTTTTAGAATAAAGCAAAATTTCAATTCTGTTTTTGAAGAATATACTACACACACAGCAAACATTTGCACAGAGATTTAACCTCCTAGGAACAACCTCCAGAATGAATTCTGAGAGCCTTTCCTAGAAAATTTCTAATTGTAAGTTAGAAGATTGGTATCTTGTAAGCTCAAAAAACAATCAGCAAGTGGATCAGTATTTCTTCATCTTCACTGCCCCTGAAAAGTAACCCACACTATGTAATCACCTTTACAGAGTTTTTCCCTTGACTTTCCCATGCCACTTTCCCATATTTCTTTGCCATACCTGTTGAGATTACTCAGCTCTAGACCAAAGTTACAGGTCTTAACATACTCTCTAACACATGTTAATTAGTGACTAAATATATTTTTAAATATTTGTTCTTTCTTCCATACAAAATAGTTTAAACTGTCATTAAAAAATGTTCATTCTCTTTTACCTATCTAATTCTAAGAATATGCAAAAAGTGCATCTCCAGTATGATCATGGAAAAAGTTTGTTTTATATAGGTAAACATAAAAAAAATTATGGACATAAAATACATTTCAGATGGATCAATCATGTTTTAACACAAAAACTTAGAATACATGTTTCTATGGCTATCTAATCAGGATCAACATCTAAGTAACACACACAATCTACACAAATCATAATTTAGGAAAAATTACATAAACTGTGCTTTCTATTGTTTTGAATTATGCAAGCAAATAAACAGTCCAAATAAGTGGAAATTTCCCCCACTCAATGTGTCACAAGGGACCAAAATATCTGCAGTTTTCTACCTTCTGGTTATATAACTGGGAAAACTGCATCTCTGAGACTGGATCACTTCATCTGCAATATATATTTAATTATATCTATCCTAATTATTCCTCAGCATAGAGAGGGAAAACATATAGAAACACAAATTTCCATTTAAAAACTTAAAACAATTCTTAGTTATTTAACATCCTATCACTAAACATCTGATTAGAAAATCCACTGAAAGATTTTTAAAGTCAGTAATACAGGGTGCCTCAAAGCATGTATAGACATTTTAACAGCTGATAGCTCAATTTTGAAAACGAAGTGCATTTTAATAAGCATTGCCTTTGTCAAAGTGTGTGTATACATTTTTTGGGACATTGTATTTTGTTATTTATGAAAAAGGAACTAATACATGATACCTGTCAGAAATAGATCCTAACTTCTTATGGGAGGAATTATTTAGAGTCATTTTTAATACAGTTTGAAAATTCTTGTATTATTATGTAATGCAATTCATTAGGGTTCTGAAATACATTAAATTTTTCTATATGAAAGAAAAACAGGGCTTAGCTTTAAAAAAAAAAAAAAAAAGTAGTATATCCTAAAGCATAAAATAACCAACTTTCCTACCCCGTAAACACTCTGCACACACTAAGAAATAAAAATGGTCTAGGGCTAAGCTAACAGCAGAATGAAAATTAAACAAAAGGGAGGAAAATATCTCTTAGCAGACCTGATCTGATTTAATGCACAGCTACTGAACTGAAGAGTAATTGCTGGTAAGTGCACTACCTAATGCTCTGTCATCCACTGACACAGACCTGACATTTTTCTCCAGACATGGTGTAATCAGTGTATCATGATAACTGACAACACAGTCAGGGGTACCCTAATATTACAAGTCAGTTACAAGATCATGTCACAAAGGTGTTTACACTGACAGTTTGAAACTCTTCTATTCCAAAAAGAAAAGAGATTTATCTACATTTAGATGAAGTGAGTCCTCTGAAAACTAATTAGACAATCATACATTTAAAAGCAACATTTGGAGTACTATCTTTTAGCAAAAACTTCAACTTAAAAGTCCCTCTTAATTATGATTAATTAGGAGTGTTTTTAAAAAGAAGGAGAAGGAGGGAAAGAAGTGGGGGGAAAGAGAAAGGAAATACATCAAAACACTAACTATAGTTGTCTGGATATTAAGACTATTAGAAATGTTTTTCTTCTTCTCTCTGTTCTCTATTTCCCACATTTATTTAATGCTCATCTATATATAAAAAAGCCTAAGCAACCATTATGGCAGAACGACCAGAATGACCAGTCACTATGATGCACATTGACCACCAGGGGGCAAACAGTCAACACAGGGACTGCCCCCTGGTGATCAGTGCGCTCCCACAGGGGGAGCACCACTCAGCCAGAAGCCAGGCTCACAGCTGGCGAGCACAGCGGTGACAGTGCTAAGGAGTTGCGAGCCAAGTGGTAAGGAGCGAGGAGGCAGGTGGTAAGGAGCAAGCAGGCACGCAGTTAGGAGTGAGCAGGTGGGTGGTAAGGAGCAGTGAGCCAAGCAGTAAGGAGCAAGCAGACAGAGCTAGAGGTCCTGGATTGCCAGAAGGCGCCAGCCAGGCTGAGGGGCATTCATCCCCCCCATTACCCCTTCCCTCCCCCCCTGCCATGCATGAATTTCAGAACTTCATGCATGGGCCTCTAGTATATTATAGTGCACAAAATTTTTGCATGGGAGGGGAGTCCCTCAGCCAATCCTGTACCCTCGGCGATGTCCAACTGCCAGTTTAGGCCTCATTGCTGGGTATTGGGCCTAAACAAGCAGTCAGACATCCATCTCACAATCCAGGACGCTGCAAGCACCAGTGACCATATTTTTCATATGGGTTAAAGGCATCTTGCTGTTGTATGGGCAACTACGTTTTTTGCCCCGATTATAAAAAGTAGTTCATAACATGATCCTTCTGAGGCAGTAGTACCATTTTCCCGTTATGGGTGGAAAAACTGAAGTAGAGAGTAGTTAAGTAATTGGCTTTGTCATATACTTATAAGTGTCAGAATCAGGGCTGACCACAAAATGTGCAAGCCAGAGTCCATGCATGTCATCGCTGCATCATACTATATTTTCAGTGTTAGAGTAGCCTTGCCAGGTTTTAATTTTTAAATCTAAGAGACTCTTCTTAGATAGGGTAGAGTCCCTAGACCTGGCTGGTGATCAGGGCAGATTGTGGGGTTATCTGTGGGTAGGGCGATTGGGGGGGCCCCTGCTGGCACCCGCCATGGCTGGCAGCCGGGCATCACTCACTGGCCGGCCCTGCCCCCATCATCAGTCACCTCCCTCTGCAGGGCAACCGGTGGGTGGGGCAATCAGTGCCCCCACACTGGCACTTGTCTTGGGTGGTGGCCTGGCACTGCTCACCGGCCAGCCCCACCCTAACCACTGATGGTCACTCCCAGTCGCCTCCTTCTTGGGGAGCAACTCTTGCATTGAGTGTCTGCCCCCTGGTGGTCAGTGCGCACTTGTATAAAAGATGAAAAGTTACTACAGATGGAGTAGTGAGCACTGTAAGGGAGTGTTTCCCCTTCTTATCCATTGGCTGTAGGGTTTATTTTTATCTAATCTGATTTATATTAACAGGGTTAGGAAAATACATGGAAGAAACAAAAGAAAATCATGACCAGTTGGGTTAACATTTTAAATTAAAACAACTGTCAACCTAAAAATATAAACTAAAATATACATTTTATATAATAGGTAGTCCTGTAAAACCCTTCTCTCAGATAATGGTATATTCAAAATAAATAAAATCCTAAAGCTTTGCTATCCTTTATTCTCTTTATTCCATACTCCTGGAAATATAGAAAAATTATGGATTTCCAAGAGGCAAAAAACACAATTGAAGCCTTTGAGTTCCAAATAAGATTCCATAACACCCACAATAAATCTCTTCCAAGTGAGCCAAAGTGAGTTAAGTATGGTCCAGTTCCATCACAAAAATTTTGCCATGGAATAAATATGGCTACAGTTTACTCCCTTTGATATTAGAAAAAAAATGTTATATGAGAGAGGAGATAAAACAAGTATAGTAAAATATTACATCTATAAAATCTGAGTGAAATAACTATGGGAATTCTTTGTATTACAACTTTTCTGTAAGTCAGAAATTACATTAAAATAAAAATTTTAAGTAAAAATATATATATATAACAAAGAAGTTTCAAAAATTATAATCAGGAAAAATACTTTATTTTCCTTTCAAATTTAAAATTAAAAATAACTATGAAAGAAGAAAGCATATTAGAATGTAACTTTTTAAACACTGCAATGCATTCTACTAGACTAACTTATTAGACTTTTTCTAAATTTTATTTAAAAACTAGAAATAAATAATGCTATGAAGAAAAAATATAACACTGACCATCAAAGAAATACTGTGCCTTCCACATCGTAACATTTCTATTTTAATTATTTAAAAACACATTTAGCCGGCACCGGTTTGGCTCAGTGGATAGAGCGTCGGCCTGCGGGCTGAAAGGTCCAGGGTTCGATTCCAGTTAAGGGCATGTACCTTGGTTGTGGGCGCATCCCCAGTAGGGGGTGTGCAAGAGGCAGCTGGTCGATGATTCTCTCTCATCGACATTTCTAACTCTCTATCTCTCTCTCTTCCTCTCTGTGAAAAATCAATAAAATATATTTAAAATAAATAAATAAATAAATAAAAATAAAAACACATTTAGAGTGGTGAGAAATTGAAGGGGGTAAAGAAGGTCCAATATGTGATTATAGAAAGACTAAGCTTTGTATGATGAGCACATAATGTAACATATATATGATGTATTAGTATTATATTCTTGAAGCTTACATAACCTTATTAACCAGTTTCACTCCATAATAAATATTTTTAAAAACATGTTTAAAGTTAACATAATCTAAAAAATAATACCATCATACTTTAAGTATGTCTTACAACAATTGAATCATTATGAAATACAGGAAAATCTTTAAAATAGTACAAATGTCAAAGAACTAATTATACTTTATTTTTTTTAATTATACTTTTTTAAATGCAGTGTCAATCAGCCAGTTCTAAAAAAAAAAAAAAGAGAGAGAGAGAGAGAAAAAACAAAGCAAAATTACCTTCATGAACTGTAATGCCACAATTGTCGCACTGAATTATTTCATCAGCATCTTCACTATTATCTCCAAGACAAACACAGCAAATCATAATATGGTCCATTTTTTGAGAACTCCAGTTTTGACTCTTCTCAAGAATCAGCGAGTCCTAGTTATTAAAATATATCAGAAAATCACATATTTAAATTAAAAGATAATTTAATAAATGAAATCCTCACTTAAATTATTTTATGCATTTCCATAATCATGCTGCATTCTCCATTCTTTTAGTAATTTCAGGGTATGCTACATTTGAGAAGTACACCTCTTTGACAAAGAGCCCTATAAGTACCCTCTATTTTTTTACTTCTCTTCAAGTCCCATATACTTTCTCCTTAGGAAATGAAAAAACAAGCATGCAACTAACAAAATCTACATCTGCGTTTCCATTCTGAATTACAGTCTAATCCCTTAAACTAGAAGGGAAAATTAACCCATAAGTATTTATTCATCCTAAACATTGGTTTAAAAAGTATACAACAGCCAAAACTGGTTTGGCTCAGTTTGGCCTACAGACTGAAGGGTCCCAGGTTTGATTCCGGACAAGGGCATGTACTTTGGTTGTGGGCACATCCCCAGTAGGGGGTGTGTAGGAGGCAACTGATCTATATTTCTAACTCTCTATCCTTCTCCTCTCCCTTCCTCTCTGTAAAAAAAAAAAAAATCAATAAAATATATATATTTAAAAAGTATACCACATTAGGCTCTTACTCTTTGGAGACTTATAATCCTAGCTAGGGAAGACAAGACACACATATATCAAACAGTAATAAACCAATTCAAGATAACATGTAAGCAACTATGTATGTGATGGCATAGTTATAGGGGAATATCCTGTATATAATCCTTACGTGTATAAGGGGAATTCAGAAGCTTCAGGCTCATCCAACTACTGGATGACAGATACATGAGTACCTACCTAGGTATATCTGCATTTACAAGTACAGAAAACCATCTAAAAAAAAGATTCAGGTTTACCAATTGCTAGAAGAGGCAGAGCACTCAGTTTTATGTCAAGAAATATTTAGTGTAAACTGGTAAGAAAGATACCTAGATAATTGTAATGTAAAAGGAGAAAGATATTAATAGATAAATACAAAAAGATAAAATTTCAAGAAATGGTTTGTTCCTTTTAATTTAAACCTTCTACATTATGGATTAAACTTTAAAGGATAAGTTAACAAAATAATATTCTTGTCATATTTCACAGATTGGGCGTAAGTGTTACATAATAAAAGGTGGCATCTGAATCTATATATTTTCACTTAAGAACCTAACCATATTAAGAAATAAAATTAATAAACTATTTCCATATTCAACATTCATTAAATATAGTTTCATATTAATTTTTATATTTTTATATTCTTTTAAACTAATATTGAAAGGTAACATGTAGGTATCATTTCAATAGTAATTTGTAACATTTGAATGACACTTGAATGTCACAATTTATAATAATCTTTCAATATATTTATGTGTAATACATGTAAACTTGCAATAGACATGTAAACAAATCAAGAAAATAGTGCCAAAAAAGGTATGCCTTATCTGAGAATTCTAGTACTTTACAAGTTTGTATTTTTATTATTTTTGTTATAAAAGCAAAGTGGCTTAGGGGCTTTGGACATGGCAAGCAAGTACAGCCAAAACCTTCCAAAAAGAAAACATGTTTTACAGTGCTTTGGTACAGTGAGCAAAATAAAAATATGCCCAGATTCCATCCCATTAGCCACGCTACAAATATAACAGTCAAATGTTGTTTGGTTTCACTTTCATCTCTTATTCAATAGCTGTTGAACTTGAAGCTGCAGTTTTCTCACCTGTAAAATAGGATGATAAAAATAATACCTACCTCATGAGGGTGTTGTGAGAATTAATAACATAATGTATGTTAAAATGTTCCCAAGACATACTAGGTACTCAATAAATGTTCATTCATTCCCATTCTTCTTTCCCCTGTATTTCTTGTAGGTGGGTCAAAAGAGAAACATTGAGATGACCTTTTATTACACAGGGGAAAAGTTATAAGCTTCTATATATATACTAGAGGCCCAGTGCACAAAATTCATGCACTCAGTGGGGTGGGGTGGTCCCTCAGCCTGTTTTGCAAGAGGGCACAGGCAAAGCTGAGGGACCCTGCCGGTGTACAATGGGGACCAGGGAGGGATGCAGGAGCTTGGCCAGTGGAGAGGGATTACGGGAGGGCTACAGGGCGTGTCTGGCCTGTCTTACTCAGTCCTAACAGGCTGGACCCCAGCAGCAAGCTAACCTACCGGTTGAAGCGTCTGCCCCCTGGTGGTCAATGTACATCATAGTGACTGGTCGACCAATCGACTGTCTGCCCCATGGTGTTCAATGCACATCATAGCGAGCGGTTGAGCAGCCTTAGCATATTATACTTTGATTGGTTGAACGGACGACCGGACAACCAGATCCTTAGCATAATAGGCTTTTATTATATAGGATATTCTCCCATGAGTAAGTCCAAAAATACTTTCTTCTCTGTGTCAATTTCAAAAACTTTTTTCATAGAATACCACATCTAAGGTTTTAAAAATCACAGACTAAGAAAAGACCTAACAAACAGCCAGTTTGATAACTGAAAGGATACTCAAGTTTATGGGCTGTAACAATTTTTCTCTCATGGAATTATAACTAATCAGGCCTTGAAAAAGATTTATCCTTGTGGGAAACAAGTAAATTTCTATGGATCAGAAAAATTAATATCAACAGGTAGTTCTAATTCCATTACCTTCCTATTTTTCTATTTTGCGTAGGGAAACAGTAACTGGCTAATTTATATCTCTGCACCAATTTCTCTCTATATATATTATCGTTTAGGCCAGATATAACAAAGTTAACTGGTATCTCTGGCCCTCTGTTCCCATCCATAGAAAGTCTTACTAACAATGTAATGAAAAAATGAGAGAAAAATAGGCGGAATTAGCATCCTAAGATAATAATACCAAATCCAATGGTTGATGGCAGGCAATACTTCAATGGAAAAATCTGAGTAACAGTCTCATAAAAATTATGCTCCAAGTTGTCCTTAATATATAAAACATGGGTTTAAGCACACTTATAGTCAGAATATTAAAGCCAATTTAATATCAATTTTTATCAGCATTATTTCTAAAATAAAGATGTATATCATTTTTTAAGTTTTGGGACAAAATAGTTAAGCTAGAGTTTTCACCACAAAATATATCATTTGAAAATACAATTTTTATATAAAAATAGAAATTGGGAAGGTTGTTTTGAGTACCACAAGAATATCGCCTAGAATATAACTTTAATATTATAGAATAATTTAAAGGATTCTAATGGTAACTTTAAGAATAAATGGGACAGTACAGTAAATCATTTCATTTTCCCCTTGAGATTTAAAATTTATTCCAAAAAATGTTAATATTTCCCTATGTTCTCGTGGCTCTAAAATATGTTTAGTCTTCATTTATGTGTATATTCCACATAGATGATTAACAATATATAAAAATGGTAAATTCTAAGTTATATGTATTTTTAATAGACGGAAATTCCAGCACACTACATGTAAAACAGAATTTAAGGAATCTATTGCCTTGAAAAAGAGGAAAAAAATACGGTAGTATACCAAAAAGTTTGACCAATAGTTCTTCCTCTGTGTTTTTAAAGAAAGTTAAATTCTTAAGAATCTGAAGTACTTTTGTACAGTGTTATAAATTGAATTTTTAGGCCTTGGAGAAATCTGTTTTATTTTGAAATGTGTACAAAGGCAATTGATTAATAATTAAAGAGCCCTAAACATAGTGGCTATTTATAAATTGCAGCAAAACTTTTACATTTTAATTAGCAAATCAAATAATAACTGCCATTTCCTCACATGGCAAGACACTAATATCCATTTAACATGAGGCTTTATTTTAAAACAAAAAAACAAAAAGAGTAACTTCCATCTGAAAATTTCTATTGATATAATTTTCTGTCACATATTTACCCAAAGCTCTAGTCTTAAAGTCCTAAAAATGGAAACCAGGCTGTGAAAAGATTACACAGCCCTCCCCCAAAAGTATACTTTAGAAAACTAAAAGACAGGATAACCTTAGAAAATCTCAAAGCTTCAAGATAACGTTTGAAAAGACAAAACCATATTCTGCAGGGATTGTTCAAATATCACCAAATTCCAAAATGCCATAATACCAGTAACAAAGGCAAGTGCCCCTTTGCAGAAAATGCCCAATTCTACAACAGTGGTTCTCAAAATGTGGTCTACGAACTCTCTTTTAGGGAGGTCCACAAGGTAAAGGCTATTTTCATGACAATACCAAGGTTATGTGCCTTTTGCACTCTCTATCATGGGTGCAAGGTAAAATTTTTTCACAAGCTACATGATAGGGGATGGCATTATTGATCTGACAACTTATGTTCTTCTGTTAATATCTACATATAACTACATAAATAAAAACTGGTATCCTCAATTAATTTTTTAAAAAGTGTAAAGTGATCCTGAGACCAAAATGTTTGAAACCCACTGCTCTAGAGTACTTCAAAATGTTTGAGAACCATTCCCCTAGCATATATAGATATGTTCAGGCCATTAACAGCCAATAGTTATAAAAGTTCCCTGCTCAAAGAAATGTCAAAATTATTAAAGTTTCTGGGTATCATTTACATGACATACATCTTTCCTTACAAAGCACTTGACATAAATCCAAGAAAAAAATTCTATATGCTTATAAATTAAATATAATTCTGTTAGGCATTTCTAAAGCCACATTTTAGCTATCTCTACTACCAAGTAGTATTTGAAAACTTAAAGTAAAAGCAGAGAAAAATAAAATATCAACTATAACCAAATATATACTTACTAGAGGCCCAGTTTCCCCCGCAGCCCAGTCTGTATCCTTTCCGTGACCACTTTGGGGATATCCCACGGCCAATTTCAGCCCAATCCTTGGGATTTGGCAGTCAGACATCCCTCTCACAATCTGGAACCGCTGGCTCCTAACTGCTCACCTGACTGCCTTCCTGATCACTCCTAACCGCCTCTGACTGCCAGCCTGATCATTACCCTTAACTGCCCTCTTCCCCGCTGGCCTAGTCAACAGCCCCCCTCTGCTGGCCTGGTCG